CACAATAAATTCTTCTTTCTTATCTCCACTCAATAATCGTATCATTTGATGACAATGTTTCCTTTTTTTTCTTTCTCCTTGTTAATATCTTATGACTATTCTTTATGGCCTAAAATTATTGTATGTAAATATGTAAAGACAACTGTAGAAACATACATGTATATCGGCGTGAGTGTCCCTAGGGAGACATAGCACTTTAAATTGAAAAAATAATAATAAAAAGTCTATAGACCTTGACACTTTTGATGGTATCTGTGCTGGGGATGAGTAGAGCTCATCAATGGATGAGCCAATGCAGTCAATAATGTGTTTTGGGGTTGTTGCTGGTTGAGTATTGAACTTAGTACATAGTGGGAAAACCTTGCAACAATTCTGGAAAGTCATTGTCTGTAGATGACCAGACTTAAGTCTAGAAATCAAAGACTGTTGTTCTCTTGGGAAGACAGAATTGGGAGAACAATAAACTCATCTTGACCCAAGTCATCTTGGGTAACCAGAAATCTGTGATCTTTAATCCAAGTCTTATTCTCAAAGTAATAAGGTACAATTTTTGAAATTAAAAAAAATCAAAATGCCAGTCATCTATTTTTTTTTTTAAGGAGACAGAGGCAATTTTGTTCACACTTTGTTTCCTCAGGTGTCTTCAATAAAGGTCACTGTAATATCTTTCAGAGTTATTGTCTGAATCCCGATATACATGCTAAAAGATACAACTTCCTTAAGTTTTGTCCATGAGTGTATCTTTCAGAGTTATTGTCTGAATCCCGATATACATGCTAAAAGGTACAACTTCCTCAAGTTTTGTCCATGAATGTATCTTTCAGAGTTATTGTCTGAATCCCGATATACATGCTAGAAGGTACAACTTCCTCAAGTTTTGTCCATGAGTGTATCTTTCAGAGTTATTGTCTGAATCCCGATATACATGCTAAAAGGTACAACTTCCTCAAGTTTTGTCAATGAGTTTAAATACAGTCTTCAAGCTTCTTTAATTCAACACTCTGAGGGATCAGAATTGTCTGTTGAATTTTAAAATGAGTGTTGATTGAATTAAGTCATTAAATTAAATACACCTATCCCCCGATTTACACGGTAGATACGTTCCTGAGAAAAACGTGTAAATCGGGGGATAGGTGTACACAGAAATAAAAATAAAATGCATTGACAGATTAAAATATGTAGTCAGCACATAAGCTCGGGATTCCTCGTGAGATGTGTACACAGCGCATGTGTTCAATCACAGTAGCATTTAGTATATTGCGATAAAAACAAAAAAAAAACTTATTTGGAAAACCGTGTAAAAGCGAAAACGTGTAAAACAAGTACCGTGTAAATCGGGGGATAGGTGTACTGTATATTACAATGTTAATTGAAAGTCGGTGGAGGTATAAACTGTCTATTTCCGACAGCCAAGATTTTGGATCAAATCCCACATTGGACACCTTTTTTTCTGAAAAATTTGGTCCAATGACCCCCGATTCTTGCAAAAGTCCAACCCTACCAGTGAGTGCAAAAACCAAATGGGGCTCTGGCACATTTGTAAGTGCAAAAGTCGAACTGCTTTCTACTTGTGTAAATATATCATGTACTTACAGTAAAAAGCCGTTTCCAACTACTACCAACCATGCTTATCATGGCCTGTATATCATATGAACAAGGTTAGATTAAATTTGGCAAGTTTTATTAGGTTATTTTTTAAAGAAAGAACTATATTTGCGGTTGTGGGCCAATCATGAGAGCAGTTTCATATCTAGGTACAACCCTAGGATTCTTTGCCAAAGAAAAAAAATATATATGTTATATCAAAGCTTAGGTTGCCATGTCATAACCAATAGTTCAAGAAGTGTCAGAATAACATGGCTCACAATGATATGCCATAAATAACAACAGACCAGGTTGGGTGCAAGAAGAAACCAAGGATCAAGATGATGTACAAGAAGAAACCAAGGATCAAGATGATGTACAAGAAGAAACCAAGGATCAAGATGATGTACAAGAAGAAACCAAGGATCAAGATGATGTACAAGAAGAAACCAAGGATCAAAATGATGTGCAAGAAGAAACCAAGGCCCAGGATGATGTACAAGAAGAAACCAAGGCCATACATTATCTTGATCCTTTGTTTCATCTTGTACATAATCTTGGGCCTTAGTTTCTTCTTGTACATTAATCAAGATGATGTGCAAGAAGAAACCAAGGTCCAAGATGATGTACCAGAAGAAACTAAGGCCCAAGATGATATGGGTAAAAAGATCCTCACCTGGGGAGGGAGGGGGAGCATTGGGCAGGCGAGGCTTCCAACTCCGGGTGAAGAAGGAGCACCACTCCACCTGTTCCACAGGAGCATCCATGGCGAAGGACTTGAGGAGGTTTCCACCAACACTCCAGTACACAACCTTGTCCCACACATACAGTTCCTCCTCCACCCCCTCCTCTTTGTCTGGACTGGTCTGTAGCCTCCAGAAACACTTCATCTGCCCCCACACACAATCTCTCACACTCTCTCTCACTACAGCTCACATTGAGACAAACCTAGTGGCAATTGGATATTTAAGATGGAAAACATTTTGGAACTCATTTTTACAATGTTGACACAAAATTAAATAATTTGTTGTTGTTGTTTCTTATCCCCTTGTGTAAAGATTACACAAATTCCATGAGTCAATGCCTCATGGAATGGTGTGTAAGGGTGCAGCTTTCGTTGATCATGGCACCATGATCCAGGTACACTAAAATTAAATAATTTACTTACCATAAACACAAGGTAATAAGATCAAATCCAAATAAATAAATAGTGTGTAACGTTTCGGTAACAGCGTTGTTAATGAAACGTCACACACTATTTATTTATTTGGATTGGGTCTTATTACCTTGTGTTTATAATCTATAATCCAAATTGTACCTTATCAAATTACTTACCTTTTTTTTTTCATGCGGTAAAAGTCACTCATATAATTTTGTGTCAACATAGTATATCCGGCAATTGCTAAAATTTCATTTTTCTAATGTTATTGATGCTGTAATGTTGTTATAACAAATCTTGAATGTTTTTTTTTTTAACTACACTCATGGACAAAACATAAAGGAAGTGGAAAGTCTTTGATGTCACCAGTCACCTAATTTTTTTTAAGATGCCAGAAGAACTTTTGTTCACACTTGGTTATCTTGTGTGTCTTCAATAAAGGTCACTGTGTATCAAATATCTTTCAGAATTATTGTCTGAATCCCAATATACAGTAGAAACTCCCTGTAAAGGACAACATCTAATTGCAGAACCAAAGTGTCCTTTAGGGAGAGGTGTCCTCTTACCTGAGAGTTACTAAATTGTAAAAATGGTAATTTTGCAAATGAAAACTGGAGAGGTGTCCGCTAAAGGGAGGTTCTACTGTACATGCTAAAAGGTAGAACTTCCTTAAGTTCTGTTTCCATGAGTATACTTCACACAATATGGCGATGTATTTGATCCTGGACATCTCCAGACTTTACATATAAAAGAATAGTGTGAGTGATAAGGGCACAAATTGGATTATAGATTATAGACACTAGGTATGAAAATTAGAAACTATTTTAGACCCGTAAGATTCTTTTTAAAAATTAAACAATTTCTACTGCCCTTACTGCAATGGAAAAATTAAAGGGAGGGCTAAAATAGTTTCTAATTTTTATAACAGATGGCGCGCTAGTGCATTGAAACATAAGGTAATAGGACCAAATCCAAACATCACACACTATTTATTTATTTGGATTTGGTCATATTACCTTGTGTTTCCTCCAACTAAACAGAAGGGAATCGACACAGTTGGCCAGATGGAAATCTGGTCACCTGCACCCTCTAGTCTATAAAGAGGGAGCCAAAAGCTTCCCAAGTGTACTAGGTACAAAACCGAAGAGGCCACTCCCCAACATTTACTAAATTGCATTGGAAAGGACAAAGGATCCCTGTACAGAGAACCAAGAAGAGTTCTTGAGCTTCTTTATGAGCACGACCTCCAAGATCTTGTCTAACTTAGAGTTTATATACTGTTTTTTCTAAACTTGGCCACTGACATCCTATTTTGCTCCTTTCCTTTATTATGCCTAGATACTTACATTTTCTCGTCTTTCCATCCTTTTTCCCGTGTTTTACCTTTAATTTGTCTTATACAGATTTTTAGTTTATTTTTTAGAAATTTCGTACTTTTATCTTTAGTTCCATATGTAAATTTCTTAATTTTTAAGTAGATCTTAGTTAGTTTTCTTTTATGCTAATTCACTGCATATAAATATTGGTTCACTCTTTCTAATCACGCATTGTACCTGATGAAGGGCAGCTGATGCCGAAAGCTTGTTGTGCGGAATAAAGAAACTTACCACGCTATTCACCTACTTCCTGTTTTAATCTATCAAGCGTGGCTATACTATGTCTAAAAGGGTAAGTAAAAAAAAAAAGCCTTGTGTTTAGAATAGTGTGAAGTTTGATGTGGGACTCACGGTGTTGTGAAGAGAGAAGTTCTCCATGGAGTGGAGAAAGTCCGCGGACTGCTCCTGGTTGCCACCACCTGGAGTAGCGGTGCTGCTGGGATGTTTTAGAGAATGCCTGGTTCCAGCAGGCTGGTATTCGGTAGGCGTGCCCACCACAGATATCATGGCTGCCCTTGGTCATCCAGCGTGTCTTTAAACACCACCAGTAGTAAAATTGCAGTAGAACCTCTTTAACCTCTACATTTTTTTTAAATCTAAGTAATTTATAATACAAAATATAATATGGCTTATGATTGTAAAACTGCGTTTGACAAGTTTTTACTGCAAATGTTTCTTTTGAACGAAAAATCGCATTTTATTTTAAGGAGAAATAACAGCTATTTCTATCCTTAGGGATGAGGTATGAAAGGATGAATTGTGAAGAGTAATGATGAACGGAAAAATAAAGTGTCTAGGGATGGGAACAATCATAAGCCGCATTATATTGTATTATAAAATAACTTTATATAATATTTGCAAACAGAAAAATATGTCCTCCCCCCAGGGTAGCCTAGTGGACATGGCATCTGCCCGGTAAGCGGAACACTGTGGGTTCGATTCCCATCCCTGGACACTTTTATTTTTCTGTTCATCATTACTCTTCACAATTCATCCTTTCATACTTCATTCCTAAGGATAGAAATAACCATTATTTCTTCTTAAATAAATTCTGATTTTTTGTTCAAAAGAAACATGTGCGGTAAAAACTTGTCAAACGTTTTAAAATCAAGTAAAGCTATTTTCTTTAATTTACCCAACCATAATTCAACTATATATTTTTTTAAACCCAATAAGGTTATTTTCTTTAATTACAAGGTTGTCCTAAAAGTTCGTAAACACTTTCAAAAAAATTGAAATACCAATATTATTCACAGTTATGTATAAAGTAATTGTATTGTATTATGTAATGATAAGGCACAATTTGGATTATTCTATATACAGTTACGAGTGTCATTCTTCGTCGCCTCTGTCACCGTTTGCTTTTTTTTTGGAATGGCGCCCTCCTATTGGTCGGCTACGATCACGCCACCTTTGCCCCCCCCCCCCCCCCCCATCATGCCCCACCCCCCCCCCCCCCCCTTTTTTTGTAACTATTGTGTTGGAGCGGGTCGCTCCTTAAATAAATGCATATATTAGTTAAAAACTAAATGGAATCCTCTCTTTCTGTTTCCCAGTATGAGACGCCTACGGAAGCCAACAGTACATAGACAGATAAAGCACATAGGCTATAGTTATTAACTAACATATGCATTTATTTAAGGCGCCAAATTATAATTGTAACAAATAGTATTTGAATCAAAACATTCAATCGGGTGAAACACGGGCGTTGCCCGGGTCATTCGGCTAGTAGATTATAAACACAAGGTAATAAGACCAAATCCAAATAAATAAATAGTGTGTGACATTTCGGTAACAGCTTTGTTATGTTGTTACTTTTGTCTGATGATGGTAACAACGCTGTTACCGAAACGTCACACACTATTTATTTATTTGAATTTGGTCTTATTACCTTGTGTGTATTATGTAATATTATGTATTCGTCATAATAATATTGTTCGCCAAGTAATAAGAAAAACATGAACATTTGGGATAACCTTATATTTAATCGAGTATAATTCAACATCTACTTTAATTCAACTTTTTATTCAAATCCCAATATTTTGTTTATCGTAAAGATAGAGGCCGGCATTCATAGTTCTTCAAATAAAAGATACTTCGGCCAGTAAATCTTTTTTTATTTTTATATATTTAAAGATTTTTGTTGAAACGTCAAGACAATAAAAAAGATTCACTAGTCGAAGTATCTTTAATTTAAAGAGCTATTTTGTTGAATTATTTAATCGACTATATTTCAACACCTACTTTTTTTTTTGTTTCAACACTCCTTAGGTATTGACAACAAAATGTCATTGAAAAAGGTCCAGTAGCAGTGAATGATGTGTTAAATTGTTAATCATTTTAACTGATAACAAGGGGGGTCGGTGGAAGACTGGTTAAACCGTTTGTTTTTCGACCACTACGACCCAGGTTCGATTCCCGCATTGGACACTTTTTTCTGTTAAAAAAAAATGCTCAAATGGCCCCCGATTCTTGCAAAAGTCCAACCCCATCAGCGAGTGCAAGTAACCAAACGGGGCTCTGGCACATTTGTAAGTGCAAAGTCGAACTGCTTTCACATGTGTAGACATGTGGTGCGCTTACAGTAAAAAGCAGTCGCTAACTACCCACCATGATTATCATGGCCTGTACCACGTGTTCTAAGGATAAGCAAAAAAAAAAAAAAAAACTGATAACAAAAATCAACACAGAGTTGATAATTCAACCAAAAATTGTGATTCCTTGGGAAGTTTAATTGAAGAAGTTGGATTGTATTCACCCATTGGTTTCTCCTACAAACCTTCAGGTTAGGATTGGTGAACATGGAAACTAGTTTAAAGACCTCCCAGATTTGTCATTTTAATAAAATCAATAAAAGGATAAGGCACAATTTGGATTATAGATTTAAACACAAGGTAATAAGACCAAATCTAAATAAGTAAACTGTGTTAGGATGTGTTAGGTGTGTTTGGATTTGGTCTTATTATCTTGTGTTTAAAATCAATAGAACATCCAGAGATAAATTACTTGCAAAATTTGTATTTCTATAACTCTCGGAGTGTATAGTTTGCTAGAAGTAATACTCCTAATTGCTCCAATTGAAGGGTATATTAGCCTGAAAGCTAAAGAAATAAAATTGTATCCCTGGATGCTTTATTTATTTTAAAAGTCAATGAATATTTGTTCTTGTTACCTTGTGAAAGTTATCTAGTCATTAAGACCCCAAATCTATACCAATTTGTTAGAATCTGATGAATGCCATTGTACCTCTTAAGTTATCTTGTAGCAAAATATTTATTATTTTAAGTATAGATTATTAATTTTGATATTTATATCTTACTAATCTGTAAACTTCCCTCATTGCTTCTCTGGTATTTTATAAATGTTGATTTGTTCTTAATATATTACTGTGTCATCCTCAAGTTTTGTCTTTCTTAATTTTCTACGTTACAATATACAGTAAACTTATAAACAATCAAATAGTCAAATTATAGTTTTGGTTAATATGTTCAAATATGGCTGTCAAATTATATATAACTCCACTCTATATAATATCATTAATATAAGTATAATTCTCTAGCGAAAATGTTATTGTTTAAAACAATAAGAATTTATGGCAAAGCTTCATTTTTATCCTATCAGTATTTCATATTCTAGGCAGTATTTAATTTTACTATTTTTTATGTTGCTTACCAATTCAAAATAATAGAGTGTGAATATTACAGAATTAGTTACAAATGTGTTTTGAACGCATTGCTTAAGCACACAAAATCATATTGGTACTTAAAATATATATACGTTTTATCATTGTACTTCAAAACCTATACTAACAAATATAAACAAACCAGCCGAGTAAAGCAAGTGGAAAATATTGAAAGATGGCGCTTGAAAAAGTCAATAAAATGATCGGAGATTATCCAGTTTTTTTTTTTTTCAAGAGATATAAATGCAAAAATATACATATTATTAAATATATATATAAATAATATTTTAACACAAAGCAATAATATTTGTTAAAACTTTATTTTATATAAATTTTAAACGATATAGGTTTTAAAGTTTATTTAAATTCTTTTACATTGTGAGTGAAATTTTAAAAATATATTTCGCATATTTTAATAGTTGATTGTGCGAGAAGGTTAGAAAAATAACTGTTTCATTTTCTACAATAGTTTATTCAATAATGAAAATATTAAACATTGGAAAATTGAGATGTGTTTGAAAGATGAACCTTTATTATGGGTAAAAATTTCCATAGACCAACTGGAGGCAGTAGTGTAACTGCATAGCAACGACCTCCCAACAGACTTGGAATTCGGCCAATTGAAAATAATTCTCCTGAATACAAACAGGAAAATGACATATCATGCTAAATCATCTGAAGTTTTTGCTTTTCTCTGGAACATTGTATATGTCAATCCGCAACCTGACCTCATGTATTAATTGTTTTTGGCACTAAAAAAAATCGAGAAACCTACACTTCAGATGATAGGACACAAAAAATATATATATCTGAGTAGTGTGTTTTACATTAAATGGATCTTAGCGTCAAAATATTCCAGGCTATGTTTGTTCTTAGACCTTGCAACATCTTCGTACACATTTATTTTTAGCAAATCTTTATTGTCTTAGTAAAGTCTGATACAGCCTTTTATTGTTTATTTTCGGAACGCCAAAAAGTGACAAAAACAAATCAAAAAGGGATGATGATAACCTGCGTCTTGCAGATTAACATTTTCATAGAAACATATATATATACATATTTATTGCTAGCTATATATCACCATCTTCTCTCTTCAAACACGAAATCTCACAGGCGGTCTCCTCGCTCGAGGTGGGTTCCGCCTTAGGACAGGACCCTCCTCTTTCAAGGCCTCGGGGTCCAGCGAGCGAAGAGGCTCCAATGACTTTCCATCGTCTGTATCACTCTGAACCTCTGAATCTTGATCCGACCGCTGGCTAGTTAGTCCTGGCGACAGCGACTCCATATAACCTCTGTCTCGTACAACCTCCGAGATTATGGCACTGGGACCTGCTCCTCTTGAGTGCTCGGGTTGACGCTCTCCATCTCCACTCTCATCTTCCTCACCATTCCTCCACCTTTTTCTAATTTGATCCCTGTGATAGGCCTTTACCTGTCCGTGGATCAAAATGGTGTAGACTCTAGTTCCCTTCTTGCCCACAATTTTTCCTGGGATCCATTTATCACCACCTCTAAAGTTTTTACACCACACTAAATCATCTATCTGGAATTCTTCCAAATGGGTTCGCCGATCATACTTCATTTGTCTGGCTTGCTGGTCCCTAACTCTAGATGCCACGCTGGGATGTATCAACGATACTCTGGTTCGAAGCGCACGCCCAATAAAGAGCTCTGATGGAGTCTTTCCCGTTGTCACATGCGGGGTGCTTCGATATGCCAGAAGAACTTTTGATAAGGTGTCTTGAATGGTATCCCCAATTTTCCTTTTATTTTTATCCAGGGCAGTCTTAATTGTTCTAACCGCTCTTTCAGCCAAGCCATTACTTTGCGGGTGGTACGCCGGGATCAATGTTTGTTTAATTCCATTTCCTTCCAGAAAACCTTTCATTTCACTACCAGTAAACTGAGGTCCATTATCAGATACAAGTTCCTCCGGTTCTCAGAAGGCCGAGAAGATGTGAACGACGAAGAGCGTGCCGGACGCCCGAGCACTTCAACAACAGACGAAAAAAATTAATGAAGTGGAGAAAATGATATTGGCCAATCGTCGAATCACCGTTAAAGAAGTTGCTGAGGACCTAAACATATCGATTGGCTCGTGCCATTCGATTTTTATCAATGATTTGGTCATGAGACGGGTCGCCGTGAAATTCGTACCAAAATTGCTCAATTGCGACCAAAAACAGCATCGCATGAACATTGCTAATGAGATGTTGGACTCTGTCCGCGACGACCCAAATTTGCTCCAGAGGGTCATAACTGGTGACGAAGCG